TGACAGAGTGAGACTCCAACTCAAAATAATAATAATAATAATTATTATTATTATAACACATCTCTTCACCCATGGGTGAATTTCTACTAGGAATCATAAAGACTTGAGGAAATAAAAAAAATTATTTATTGAGAATCAAAGTCATATCTTCATTACTTTAAATTATTGTTCCAAATAACATATCTACTGGACCATATCCAATTCTATTATCCTTATCAGATGTGGTTGATGGTTAAAGAGAAACAAATACAAAAGCATTATATTATTCTCTCTGAAGTCCCTGAAGTCAGAAGTTTAAAGACAGAAAAATGTTATACTTTTCTGAACAGGGTATAAATAATTAGAACACTTAAATCACTATGGGAGTGCTGACTTGTTAGAAACAAATGGAGCAAGTATAATATTTTACTAAATTTTATGCTTTTCTGACAGAATACAGAAACAAATAACCATGAAGTTTCTACACAAATGTCTTTATCCAGTATAAAATTAATTTCCCTGTGAACCAAATAATTCTCATAAAATATATGCTAAAAACATGGCATACTCTCTGACTAAAGCAAAACAAATTAAGCAGTTAGATATCAGTGTAGTATATTATGTACAAGAATCTTACTGCAGATTTTACAAATGTGAAACTAAAAACAGCCTAAACATTTATCCAAAAAAAGTAAAAAATTATGTACATCCATTCTTTGAAATATTTTTAAAACATTAAAAATAGTAAGTTAGAATTACATGCACTGATAGGAAAATATGTCAAGGATATATAGCTTGAGAAACACCAAAACTAAAACAATGTCACATGATATAATTTGTGTTTAAAAAAACAAGATAGATAGATAGATAGATATAGGAAGAAAATATCCATAAGAATAAACACCATCCTGTTAATAATTTTTTCTAAGAAAGGAATGAATTTGGAAGGAAGTGGATGAAAGAGGAGACTTTCACTTTGTAAAGGTCTGTAAAGTTTTGACTTTTACAGCATGTATTCATTTTATAATTACAAAAGAAAAAAATAGTGTTATTACTATGTGGTAGGAGGTCAACAGTTTTATTTTCATCAATATTTGTATCATATGTTCATGCATAACACAGAAAGCCCAGAGAAAAGTTAAAACAAAAAGTCACACTTGCAGAAAGGGAGATTATTTTTACATAATGCATCTTTCAGTAAATTATGTACAAAAATCTTACTGCAGCTTTTACAAATGTGAAGGTGAGGAATGATCAGATCGACCCCTGCTCCAGCTCACTCAATAACTCCAACACCTACCAATGATAAGCAGAAGATAGGGATGGCCAAGCTCCAGCTAGTTTTATTCCCCAATAAGGGCCTATTTGTTTAAGTT